TAAATATGAATGTGTGTGTGGTGTGCAGGTCAAGCTGGCTGCAGGACACAAGTTTGACAGAGATGTTGAACTGCTGATTTATTACAAAGATGCCCACCAGCCCACTGCTGTGGTGGAGGCAGGACAGGCCTCTGCTGAGCCGGGTGAGTGAAAATGAGATTTGCTGTTTTGAAATTAAAAAAAAAAAAAAAAAATCATTATTCATCTTCTTTAACTCAGTAGTTAAAGATGTTGGAGTAAACAGCAAAAACAATTTTTGGTTATTTTTCTGTCCGTAATATTTTTCAGGCTCTCTGATGGGTGATTCAGTGGTGATGGTGAGTCTGTACCCTGAGTTCCCCCAGTCTGTGATGTCTTCAGTGGCTTCATGTGGAGAGTTTGTGTTCTTAATGGATCGATCTGGAAGTATGAGTAATACTCGCATCCGCAGTGCCAAGGTATCTGTTCTTACAGTCATAAATTTTTCATAGTGTTCCTCTCACACAGTGGCCTCACTATCTTTTCCCTGTTCTCTTAAGGATACTCTACTGCTCCTGTTGAAGAGCTTACCAATGGGATGCTATTTTAACATCTATGGTTTTGGGTCCAGATATGAACACATCTTCCCGTAAGGCTCAGATCTGTCAGCCCAACACAATTATTCCTTTCATGTTTTTGTGTCTTTTGTGTTACATGCGTGTGTATTGGTGTCTGTGTGATGGCAGTAAGAGTGTGGAGTACACTCAGCAGACCATGGAAGAGGCCCTGAAGAGCGTTGAGCAGATCCAGGCTAATCTTGGAGGAACAGCGATCCTGGAGCCCCTCAAACATATTTACAGTCAGCCTTGCATTCCCAGTCAGCCTAGACAGGTAACGCACACACTGGCTTGGATCAGTTTCCTCAAGACTTCCTTGAAACTTAACCTTACTTACCGCTTGCCTAACTCTGACGTTAATAAAAGGATTGCGAGGACTGCACAGTGTCTCGTCTTCTGGTTTTACTATACTGGCAGTTAAGTTCTGTTTTTCTGACTGTTTATCTTTTTTCTCTTGTTTTTTTCTTTTTGTTTTCGTCTCGCCTAACCGCTTCTTCTTTCCAGGCCTGGAAGTATTGTGATTCTTGCGTGCGTTTTCCTTTCCTTTCTCTCCTAATTCTTTTAAAGAGCCTCCTTCAGCTGTGTTAGCACTGAGGGGCTGCATTTCCCTTCCCAAGTGGGACATTTTGTTTTCTTAGGATTTCTCCATCTACAAGCACTGATTTGTCCGGCGCCTGGACATTTCTTTTCTAGCCACTGCTCGTCAGCAGTGAGTTTGGTGGGCTGATTCCCCATTTTCACAGAACTGCAGAGCCTTCTCTGGTACGCTTGACTCGGGGGTGGTGGCTTACACGCCCTTCTACTCCGCGCTATTCATGGAGCGGTGTCAGTTTTATGAGGTGGAACTCAACCTTTCCCCTTTGTCACCAGTACGTGGGCTTTTGCAGGATACACAAAGATGGAAGTAGTTCAGCAGTTTATTTGTGCTGTAAAATCAACTTACTTCCAAAACACATATAGACATAGACATTCACTCGTTTTTATATTTGTCACAAAGTACTTTCAGCTACTTCTGAAACCAGTCTAAATTTAGTTCCTTTCGGCGAACTCAACCTATTTCACGTGTTTATTTCTTTAGACCCTTGCGGCGGGTTAGACCTACTGCGTTCTTTATTTATACAAGCTTGTGTGTGTACAAAGGTAACAAAGTTATTCCGGGAACTCAGAGCTGAGGTTCCTCTTCTCTAAGTCTGTTCCCAGAAAACAGGAAGCGGTTAGTTGCTAAATAAGTTTATCACACAAGAGTTTATGTGAAAAGTCATGTAGACATGTGGATTGCTTAGTGATCCATAAAATCCAGCATATTTCATGTAGCTGGATACACTATGTACAATTTTCCTTTGACAAACCTAACTCAGCTCTCAGAACAAGCTGTGGGTTTGTGGGTCTGATGTTATGTCTTCATGTGCCAACTCTCCTCTCTAGCTGTTTGTCTTTACTGATGGAGAGGTGGGAAACACCAAAGAAGTGATAGATCTGGTGAAGAAGAACTCAGATTCCCACAGGTGAAACCACAAACCCACAACTATATCTACACAATACATGTCCTCTGTGTACTTAAAGAAAACTGCTGTATTGCAGGTGTTTCTCTTTTGGGATTGGGGAAGGGGCCAGTTCTGCTCTCATCAATGGGATGGCAAAGGAAGGAGGAGGTCATGCTCAGTTCATCACAGGGACTGACAGGATGCAAGCAAAAGTAAGACATTAAACACAATTAGAAGTCACATTAAACATTGCAGCAGATCCATATTTGTTATATGTATAGGATGTATATTTGGAGAGTTTTTCATTATTTTTCAGGTGATGCAGTCGCTGCGATTTGCTCTGCAGCCGACTGTGGTCGACTTCTCAGTCACATGGGATTTACCAAAGGAAGTGTCTGTCACTGTCCTCTCTCCACCAATCACAGCACTTTTCCAGGGTCAAAGGTCACTGATTTATGCCCAGCTTACTGGACAGGTAAGAGCAGCATCTTCTCGTTTTGTTGTTTAGGTATTTGATGATAGTAATTAACGTGACTTCTGACCCTGTGATTCTGTGTCAGAGCTCAGAGGCAGCAGAGGGCTGTGTGACGGTGAAGTACAGCCTGGCAGGTCATCCCTCTGAGAACCAGCTGCACTTCAGTCTCAGACCTGCAGAGGACACTGGGTAAAACAGAGTTTAATAACAACAGCACCCTTTTGGTTTGGTTTACTTTATTTAAGATGGACAAACATATTACTGTGCATATCTTTGATATTTTTATGACCTGGTTTTACCACATCCTTTTTTTCCATCTATACATCATTAGAAACAATGATGAATTACAGTGTATTTCTATGTTTGATATTCTGACAATAGGGTTTACTCATTTAATATTCCAGTTGCAGCCATGGCTGGACTGGGACAAAAAATCGGCCCGGGCATTTTGACTAGAGACAAGCCCACCAGGATAAAGATTGAAAATGTGATGTCATTCAGGGGTAAAACCGCAAAGGATTCTGGGAACTTGTGGCAAGAGGTAC